CTGTTCAAACTCTCGGAGGCTGTGCATCTGTACAGGTGGGCCTTTTTCTGTTTCATCACATGAGAAATCTGCACAGAAAGGAAAAGAAGCACACGGTCAGATCAAATCTGAGGTATGGTAGGAATCATGCATAGGGAACTTCGGCTCCTGCACAGTGTTGGGGTGATGTTTGGTTGATTTGTAAGAAGAGAAAAGGAGCACAGCTTTCTCTAAAGTCACAGATACTATGACTGGATCTCAAAAATCTACTGCAAGGCTCTCAATAGAGACATATTTCACCTCCTAAATGACTGATGGTTCAACGAGTTCTGTAGTATGTTCCAGTACACCAGATAACACAAATCTGACAGTTTCTAATGTTCTGCCCTCCATTCTGACAGACTTTTAAAAAGCATTAAAGTCTTTATATGTGATTTTTCACAATAGAAATCAATTATATCCTCTGAAAATAACTCTGTGAGTCATGACTGTCTACAATGGGTGTAACACCCGAGTCCCACTGTCTGTGATGTTTTCAGAGTTTTCAGAGTCCTATCTTCACTTTGTTTACATCGCCAGGACGGCCGGCTGACTCCTCCCCTCGTGTATAAAAGTTGTTTAATTGAGGGACTAGAGAAAAGAAGAATAACATACTGTACTCACTGCTTAACTGTGTTTCTAGATCACGCTCATTTCAGGTAAATTTACATGCAGTGTGAAGATACCAGCATAATAAAGATCGCTAGCATTAGCATGCTAACACAACAATGCAGCGCGAGTTGTTTTGGTTTCATGCTGGTGCTCAAGGGCGACATCTGCTGGATCAAAAAAACGCATAAAAAGCCTTTAAATTGGGGGAACGGTAGCCTAGTGGTTAGTGCGCAAGCCCCATGTACAGAGGCTGTGATTCCTCCAGGCGGGCGGCCCGGGTCAAGTCTGACCTCTGACCTCTGATTCCTTTTCAATGTCATTCCTCTCTCTCTCTCTCGCTTAACTCTATCCACTGTCCTATCTCTTTAATAAAGGAACAAGAAGCCCGAAAACAAAAGCACCAGCCGTTATATCATTTCCACCATCGTCACCGGTCTGGACCCTGAAGATCACAGGAGCTGCTGGTCGACCGGTGACTTTTAACGCTCTAAATGAATGAAGCTGTCTGTGTGTGACTATAATTATTAATCTTCATTAACCTGTCCATCGCTGGTTATCATGGGGAAACGGAGTGAAATAAAATGTCCTCTTTGGGCTCCTGTACTCGATGAAACCGTTTCATTCACACTCTCAGCAGCATGCACACAGGAGAGGTTTGTCTGGGGTTTGAATCAAATAAATGTATTTCATCTGTAAACAGCACGGTTTAAACATTCTCATAAAACATCGCTGAGACGTTCTGATTAACCCTCGCCTCAATATAACCCTATTAAACCTGGATATATGGCCTGTACACACACACACACACACACACACACACACACTCACACACCTATCATGGTACATTCCCGTCCAGCTGAAACTCCTCCAGAGGTCTTAAGACGTCTCAAAGCCAAACTTCTCCTCTCTAAAAGGCCGGGAGTGTTTCCAGAAAACTCCACGCAGGAGGAATTTGTACAATAGTTTGTGTTTGATTCTTTTAAACAGCGGGCCAATAGAGGGGGGGGCGTAGGGGGCGGGGAGTGGGCGACGGGGTGCCTGCCAGGGGGCGTAATCAAGACGGTGTTTGGCAGCGTAGAGATTTCTGACAGTTCTTTAAAATTGCGGCACATTAAATATTATTAAGAGCTGCTCTGAGCAGAAAGGTAGAAAGAAGGGATTCTGGACGGACGCCTGCTGGGAGGTGAACTGGAATGACGCACCGCTACAAGCACGCAAACACACACACACACATAAATATATGTTGTTTTACTGCACCTGTGAGGAGCCTCTACTCATAATGGACTCCCTTATTCCAGACCCCAATCCACACCAAACCACTACACACCTTTTGTAATCTGAGTTTCATGATGGATGTCCATCTTTCTGGCTGCAAACAAATCTACAAACAGGCACAAATAAGGTCACCTGAACCCGAACGTCTGGCCTTAAATGAAAGTAATCTCCCCTCGTCTTTTTTTTGTTTCTGCTTGTGTAAAAAAGATGAGCTATGAGAAGTTTAAAAGTGAGCTGCACAGACTTTTATTAGCTTTAGACAGCCATGCTAGCTGTTTCCCCTCGTTTCCAGTATTTATGCTAAGCTAGGCTAACCGCTTCCTCACTCCAGCTCTGTGCTGAACACAGACTTAAGAGCCTGATGTTCAAATCTTAAATGATTTTAAAAATGTGGGAGACCCTAAAGGGGGGGGGGCAAGAGAAGTGGTTCAGATAGAAGTGATTGTACCCGACCTAAAAAGCCTCTGCATGTTTCTAATAAGCTCCACGAGCAGAAACGTGCTCAAACTAGGATCAATATTGGAGATGCTTTTGAAAAATGGAGAGAGGTTAGAACACAGAAAGGTTTACAGACCCATGCAGAGCTGGATAAACACTGAAGCTTCAGAGTCCACCACATGGTGACCTGAGTGAGCATCGACTCTAGAGAGGAGGGGGAGACAGCTCTCTATGATGTTTAGAATTTAGACTGCAGTACCCATTGTAACCACTAGGGGTCAGAGTTACAGACTGCACCTTTAATGCATTTAAACTAGATGTGTATTAGTGATTTTTTTAATCAGTTCACAACTATATAATCTTTAGGAACCTTTTGGTCTTTTCATTTGAAAACAGGATTTATGGACTTTTCCCTCACCCGCTTCCATCACTGCAACACCTGTTGGTTTGACCTGATAACTGCTCTCATATCTGACAAACCGAGGGGCGTCCAAAACGGCCGTGTGGGGGGTCGCTTTAAAAGCGCCTACCTTCTCTGGTCCAAACAAATCCAGAGCATTCAGGAGCAGAATGTAAAGTTAGAAGGAGGACATACTGGCTGCTGCATTGTTGTCAGAGAAGCCAGCACTTCAACATGTTTCCTTAATGATCAGAGAGTAAGATACCTTTATCATCTCACTCTCTACACAGCTCACTGATTGGACCTTTAAAGTTTGTTGTGTTTAGAAATAAAGAAAGCCGATAAACAATAAGATATCAGCAATCGGTTTAATCGGTTATTCGGTTTCTGGCTGTTTTAATGAAGCTAAACGGTCTAAAGTGTGAAGGAGGAAAGTACAGAATCTTAGAGCACACACACCTTTTAAAGGGGTGGAGGCTGTTAGCAACACACTCGCTCATTCATACACTCATAGTGGTAACACGCGTTCGTTCATCCAAACAGCTAATGAGTCAACACAGGAGCCTGTATCTGAGCGGGGGGGGGGGGCGACTCTCAGGAGGTGTTTATTATGTTATATTATACACTTAAACCTGTGATGTGGTCATTTTAAGAATCTAGCGGTGAAAGAAATAAGAGTTTAATAGATTTAGGATTTCTACTCACCCATCATTGGTCCCACGCTCTTCGGCCTGGCCCGTTTCTCTCCACAGTTCCTGAAATAGAGACAGCCTTCAGTCCATTGCCTTCAGACTCTCCACCAGCAGCCACACACACACAGATCCTCAAACCTGCACCGAAAAACCAGTTTATCCAGACTTAAACCGACTATTCCTCCACCTTCAGCCTACCTGCTGGTGCTCTAAGCCGCTCACTGAATGTGTGGTGGACTCTCTAAAAGCTCACTGGGTCAGAAATAGAGCAGAGCTCCTTCTTCTTCTTTGCACTGACATGTCAGAGACAGCAGGACACTCACACACGGGTGGAGACTGAGTCAGCGCATGCTTCAAGTCACACAGTCATCACTCAGCAGCTGAGACAGTAAACAAAGAGAGAGAGTGGAGGAGTCCTCCAGAGCCTCCGCTAAGGACAAGTCTAACTCTCAGAGGAGTTTTACCTCCCTCTGTTTATTATCTATACACTTCAGTTAAAGGGTCATTCTGGTGTGTTTAAACATGGGATCTTTTTTTAACATCATTTGGGATGATTATGAGCAACGAGTGCAAGAATCTTTATTATCATTGTATACAAGGACACAACGAAACTTTGTTAGCAGCGTTTACAAAAACAACAACAACAAATATATATATATATTTGTGGTGATATGATGGTGATGCAATCTGATTTTAGGGAACTTTTGCATCCAATCTAAAAGTCGTTTTTGTCCCTGACAGGAAGTTAGTCTGAGTGCACAAGCACAAGCTCGGATACACATCGTGAACATGACGTATAATCGATCCCAGACTCCATTATCGAGAAAGTGAAGACAGCCAGCTGTGTGCCGGTTTCTCCTCCGTTTTTTGACGTCATTGTGTGACGCTGGCACTTTTGTTTTCATGAGATTAGTGCGATGGCAGACGTTACCAAATTAGCGTTGGTGCTAACGTTGCTAACTGGACGTTTTACATGCTCACACACACACACACACACAGTTACTCTCCCACTATGTTGACGAACAGATACGCCTGATTGGATGACGGAGGTCACTGCTGCTTCATACGACACTCTGACCACACAAACCGCAACCAACGTCGGGGGATTTTAGACGGGACCCGGTCAGACGTCGGGTTGGTGGGACAACTTTGTAAATGAAACGGTCATTGCAGAGGAATGGCGAGAACGTCTTTAGAATAACAACCTGAGCCTGTCAGGGACAAAAACAACGACTTATGGTGGATGCACCCTGATGGACTCATTCTACCAACAAGATTTTGTTGCATTCATGGCAGCCTGTTTTTATTTTCCTACAGCCGGCTGAAGCCACTCAAACCTCTCTCTACCTATTAGTCATTTTGTACCCAGAATAGGAACCCAGGAATAAACCTTTAATTGCTGTTTTGCGTCATGGAAATTAATTACAGGTCTGGAAAATGAAGATTTAAGTTTGTTCTGTGATTGATTCAAACCAAAAAGAGTTACATCTTCACAGGATCGTGATCTGCGTTTCCTCCAAATTAGCACGTCCTCTGAGCTTCTCATGAATAATCGATGAGGAAGATTAAGTGAAAGCAGATCCCACCAAGCTGTTAAAGCCGCTTTTATCAGCAGAAGTGAAGACACACGAGGAGCCTCACATCAGGGTGAGGATGTAATGAGCCCCAAATGATCCTCTCTGAATCAAAGGCTTTAGTGGATTCAGAGTGTTTAACAACATCTTGACCACCTAGGTGTGTGTGTGTGTCAGTGTTTGTGTGTGTTTGCCTCTTGGTGCCGACAGCTGAAGGAGATGTGAGTAGATGTGTGACAATAGAAGCTGAGTAGACGACAGTAACGTCCTCTTTACAGCCTCCAGCAGCTGAAGACCACCAGAGCTGAGATCAGCAGGCTGAAGGTGTGAGAACAACATTTGTGCTCGCTCACTCTCTCTCTCTCTCTCTCTCTCTCTCTGTGTGGTTCCTCTTCATTTACACCTTTAGCAACCTGTTCACAACCGTTAAAACCATAGACTGTAAATATTAATGAACGAAGCCTGAGTGACGTCAGCCGTCTGTTCCTGCAGGGAGCTCCAGATGTTTATCGGCAGCAGCCTTCATGTTGGAAATGCTGTCTCAGTCTAACTTTCAGTCAACCTAACGACAGGCTGAGAGCTGGAGCTGAGGCGGGTTTTAAGACTCTTGACGACATCATCAGCTACACGCCTAACTATGGATAACACGTATCGATCATAAAATCAAAACGGAGTCGGTGTCCCTGTGATGACGATAACTAATCACACCTATTTTTTTGAACCAGGCTGTAAACATGTTCATCTCTGCTGTAAAAAACAGACTTTTTAGAATGGGTGTGTATGTGACTTCCTGTGCCTCTGCAGCCAGCCTCTAGTGGACACTCGAGGACCTGCAGGATTTTGCACATTTTTCAACCGCTTGGTTTTACAACAAGTTGCAAGAAGCTATAAGCTTATGATTGTGGGAGATGCTGAGTGTGTGTGTGTGTGTGTGTGTGTGTGTGTGTGTGTGTGTGTGTGTGTGTGTGTGTGTATTTGAGCAGAGTATACGAGACAACTGAACCCCATACAGCTCTGACTTCAACTTCCATCTAATGGACTTTTCAAATGAAACTTTCTTGACAGTTGTCAACGCTCCGCTCTGCAGTACGAGCTCTCAGGTCGTGTTGGACGATCCCAGCGGACAGCGTGAGGACATAAACCGCGAGCTTTGGTCGTGCGTCGTAAACAAGTCACTCGTACAGCGTGAGATGACGTTACCACCTCAACATTTATACAATGACACAGAGTATGCTCTGGCCTTACTGCCCGGACCTGCTGGGGTCAGGGGTCAAGTCCTGCAGCTGCACCAAAGACCTATGAGGTCAAGGCTAAATGAAGATCAGATATAACATGAATAGGGTAAAACATTAAAGCTCATCCACGTTTCTTTTAACTTCTATATCGAACACAACACCTGGTTCTGAGATATGACTATAATGACCAGTTTCAAAGCACACAGCACAAAACTTCTCCAAACTCACATCTTCTGCTGTAGTGCAGATCTTTAAGTTTGCACAGAAACAAAATGTGCTACCGCTGAGTTAAATGTACTTTTGTTTTGCTTAATTTCTTCCAAATGGAAAGCCACCTAGAACATTAATGGTTGCAATCATAGAGTTGTGTATATTCACATGTGACCTCTTCAGTAAAGATCTGTTAATGCATAAACAACTGAAGGAGGAAAAAGTGGAGCGGCTGTAAAGTCTCTGACTGCATGTAGAATAAAGCGCAGCGAGTGTTTTCAGGCTTTAAGAGGTTAAAATGGGCACAGATAATTCAGGCTTTTCACTCAGCCAATCACTGCCCATCATCCAGGAGCTCCACATGTTTGAGTCCAGACCTCAGTGGTTATGTAACAGGAGCACAAAGGTCCTCTTTTCAGGACTTTTTCCACTTTGTTCATCTGTATTCACTGCACGAGAGGCTTCTTCTACTCACATTATGTTCATTTTAATGCACACAAAACAACACCAAACAGACCACCATGACTCATCAAACAGCCTTACCTTCCTCTGTACAGATATCCACTCATGTTACAGCTGCAGAGATATCCCAAAAAACACAGAAATTAGCTCCAGCAGCAGCAGCTCTGATAGTTTCCCCTCAAGCTGTCAGGTGAGAGTCGCCTCCTCAGACCTGCACACATCCTCAGACCTGCACACTCCTGTAAACAGTCAGACGTGGCCAAAACAGCAGCCAGAGAAGCGGCGGCGAGTGGTGAGTAAAAAAACCTTCCAGCCTCCTCAGACCCGGAGCCGAGTGACCACAGTCAGGCAGAGATTCCCCGAGGAGCGAGCCAAACACCCGGCCCGAACAACCGAGTCCAGAATCTGACGTGGCAGCAACAGAGGAGGTAAACACCGGCCGTAGAGCAAAGGTACACACACACACACACACACTGCCTGGTTCAGCATGAAAGAGTGATCTGTTTCAGCACGCTCCAAAACAGACGCTTCACTAGGGCTCTGTGTGTGTGTGTGTGTGTGTGTGTGTGTGTGTGTGTGTGTGTGTGTGTGTGTGTGTGCGTGCGTGCGTGCGTGCGTGCGTGTGTGTGTGGGAGCACATGCACAAACCACACCAACGTCTTCCTGCCTTAGCCTGTAAAACAGTCACTAATCTGTCAATGGACTATTTGCCTCTGGTATGTTTTGAAGGCAGGGTGGAGCACGCACAGGACACCCTAATGTGTGAGTGTGTGTGTGTGTGTGTGTGTGTGTGTGTGTGTGTGTGTGTGTGTGTGTGTGTGTGTGTGTGTGTGTGTGTGTGGTTATGCATCCCATCCCGCCCCTGCAGGTGTGTGTGACATGTCAGAGCAGGTCTGCAGCAGGTAAAACAGGGTATGAGCTCCAGACACTAACCCCCCCCACCAACAACCAACACACACTGAGCTGCTTTACATTCTCCCTGCAGCACACACACACACACGCGATCTTTGTGATAAAACCACATTATTTTTGTGTGTTGTCTCTCTGTGTGAAGGGCGGTTCAAAGAGTACACTGTGCAGCTGTGTTGAATGGATTCAAACAGACAGGCTGAACATTCAGGCTGCTGGACCGAGCGCAGGATCAAAGACGGACAGCGGCGGCGGCGGTGGCAGCGGGCCGGAGTCAGAAGCAGAGGTCTGGATCACAAGCGTGAAATTCCTCCACAGAGCTTCTCCAAACGGGGGGGGGGGGGGTTTGTGTGTGAACCCTAACGTTTTTTATTCACCCTACAGAGACGTTTATTTAAAAATGAATTAGAGACAGGCCTCATCCAATGAGGAGCTTTAGTTAATACTAGTAAACACATACAAACTTCTTCTTATATCAAATAAAAATGGACACCTTCTGCTCTTCTGGCTTCGTCCCTTCAACTCTCAGGGAGGCTTTATTGAGAAACATCTGCAGTAACTGTTGAGTTTCAGTGACAGAAGTTCAGAACTTAAAATGTCATCAACTTCCCTCCAAGATGGAAATAAAGGATGAACAGCTGGGAACAGGAATATCTCTACGTCACAGGGGCGT